AAAAAAATGTTTACTGTATAGATTTTTACTATCTAAATGTAATCTCCATGTATTTTATGCTTACATGTAAATTGGTTCTGGCATTGCTTAAATCAGAAAATCCACCAGATTTCTTATTGTTATAGAGGAGCTGATATATCAAATATTTTGGGTAAAATCTCATATTCTTAGTATAGTCTCATATATTTGCTACAGCTGTATCAGCCAGCAAACTATTTTATTTTAGCTAGGGATTCTGAAGCTTACTGGCCAATAAGAATACACTTCTTTCTTTTTCATATTACTTTTGTGGATAGGAGAGGAGAATGGTATGGGTTAATATTGAAACAGGCAGGATGGAGAAAAAGCATTAATATATGATTATTTTAAGTATAGTGCTTTATTCTAAATGATACTGAAATTTCCAAAGTATACAATCTTTTCAGAACCTTTTTTCTATAAATATTTTATGTTTTTAAAACTAGCTTATGTATCAATTCAAAAATATTATTATAATGAGACAGGGTCATAATTTTAAGTTTCATAGATGTATTTGTTGAGAAACTCCATTCACAGAAATAAGTAGATGGAAAAGGAAGAAGGTTGTATTATTGTTATATTTTTACTAGCAATGTTACTTGTCTTTGAATTTCTTCTGCATATAAACTGAAAACAAAAATATATTTTATAATCAATTATCAGATACCTTAAGTCACCCTCCAGTTTTTTTTTGGGGGGGGAGTAAACAACCAAAAAACTTCTGGTGTGCAAAAAGGATTTGTTACCTAGCTATTAAAGTCATTCACTTTCTCAACACCTAAATCTATATTCTGAGTGGGTTCTTATTTTGGCCCTTGAAATTTTGAGACCCCAGGGTAATGAAACATGGTAAGATTCATGAGCAATGTGCCTCTCTGAAAGGGAAGATTGATTTAAATGCAGACAGGCCTTCTTAACTGCAATACTGTTGCAGGGTAACACATATTAGGAAAGGGTACATACACACCAGAAGAAGAAAATGAACTCCCTACAATATCCATGTCCTAATATTTATTGGAGATTCTTCATTCCTTAATTTTAAATAATTATCAAAGAG